ATCATCGTAAGGATCGGTCAATATTTACGAAGGGGGGAGAGGATGGGGGTCGGATAATTTTGGTTGTGTAACAGTAAAACTTACCTGATCCCCCATAAGGCTTTGTAAAATTCTTATGCCTCCCCCATCCACCTCATCGGAAGTTAACAGGCAGTCAATTTTCTATACCCCCCTCCCCTTATACTCTATTGACGACAGCTGATCCCCCTCTGCTTCTCCTGAAAACCATGTAATATTCCCTAATATCTTCCAACCCTCCCTCCCCCCGCTTCTCCTATAACTTTAAATTGGCTTTTTCTGATTTTTTTTAACCCATAAACTACCGGCATTTGTTGGTTTCGATGCTCAACTGTTTAATTTGTTGTTCTTCCGCAAAAAACCTGTCATCTTAAGGACCGGTCAATATTTACGAAGGGGGGAGAGGACGGGGGTCGGAGAAGTTTGACTGTTTAACGGTAAAATTTACCTGATCCCTCAAAAGGCTCTGTAAAATTTTTTATGCCTGTCAATTTTCTATACCCCCCTCCCCTCATACCCTATTGGCGACAACTGATCCCCTTCCGCTCCCCCTGAAAACCATGTGATACTCCTCAAAATCTTTTGATCCCCTCCCCCCCTCAGGCAATGAAGAATGACTGATTTCCTTATGCTCTTTCCGTCCTTTTTTTTTAACCCTTTAACTCTCGAGAGTGATCAACATGTAACTTCTCCCTATTATATCCATGCATCATCCAGCAGAGGTATTGAGAATACTCAAAGTTATCAGGTAGAAGTTGTTGTCTTGATCTAACACCAAATCCTCGTAACTCATTCCCAAAACATTGTAAAGTTGTCTTATAGAAGAATAAACAATCAGATCTTGGAAGTTATAGGGCTAAAAGACTGATAGGTTAAGCCAGAAAAGAAGATAGACCGACATTGGGGGAGGGGGAGGGTACGGCTACAAGTAGGGTACGGCAAAGCATGGAACATTGCCAGGGTTTCTTTATCAACACCACCTCGAAGTTGGTGACCAAGTTACAGGCCACACGTGACTGATTGATTCAACATTCCAATAGAATATCCAAACTTTCAGGTCTTAGTTCGCAAATGGAAATGTTAGATTAGGGATTTTCGATGAAACTTTCCAGAGCTATAGCTTTTTGCGACTGCAAAATTGCAATCCTATAGAGGACTTTTGTGCGAATTTCCTTAATTTGACTAGGCTCCATTACCAGCTGCTGAGTCCGCAGAGAGCACGCTCGAGGTCCTCGAGAGAGCACGCTATAGGTTCTCGAGAGAGCACGCTCGAGGTCCTCGAGAGAACAGCTGTTAATTTAAGCAGATACTAGAAGATACGAATGCCAAGTCCGTGGCATTCAGAAATCCTGTAATAAAATTAGAGTAGTTTACTCAGTATGCTCCACTTGTCACCACTGTATCAGATCGATCAGAGTTTTAATAACCGGGATGTGAAAATGTATTGGCTTTGACAGTTTTGCATGCGGTATCGGTTTTGATCTAATTTTTTCGGTTTTATATGATAAAACAAAGGCTTATGTTGACAGAAATACCGGAGGTCAAGTATATTCGTTACATTTGCATATTTGAGCGGTCGAACGAAAAAAATAATTTCTCGAAAACTAAAATACATTTTCACAAAAAAACTACACCACAATTATCAGGACATATTGGGCTACAAACTATGAAAGTTTTGAGTGATTTGCTGCCGTTTATCTGATGCAAGCTGATATTAGCTCTTGAGTACCGTGATTCGCTCCTGTGATTGAAGGGCTACTTTATGTTGAAGATTTCACCACTAACTGATTTTTGCGTACATGACCGTACATGGAATTTATTTGCACTTGTAGTAGTATAGTCAAAATTTGTGTTCCATATGCGGCTAGTAAGCTTCGAAGTGCGATCTGTGGTGACACTTTTGAAATGTAAGTTGCGTAACGAACTTCTAGGTTTTTAAATAATTAGTCACCTGATCTATTTTTGCCGCGTTGCGCTAAGATAATTAAATATTCACAAAAAAATGACAAACGGCTTGAGAAATGCAAATCATACCGTGTTTATATACACTTTCTCTTACACAACATATGGACCAAGATAAAATCCCTGTGACTCAAGATAAAATCCCTGTGACTCGAACATTATTTCCTACGTATAAATTTACGAGTGAGTGATTTTTGTGAAATCAAACACACTGCTTGAGCAAATTATGTCGAAAAATGTAGCCAGTCAACGCTGGTTGCTTTACCTTTTGTGAAAATGAAAACGGTATCGAGAATATTAGGATATCAAAATTACTGCCTGAGGATATGTTGAAAAATGTAGCTAATATCCTCTGGTTTTTTTACCTTTTTGGAAAATGAAAACGATATCGGGAATATTACGAAATCAAAAACACTGCCTGAGATATGTCAACAAATGCTTAACCTTGGGAAAATGAAAACGATATCGTATCGGGAATATAAGGAAATCAAAAACACTGCCTGAGCATATGTCGAAAAATGTAGCTGATTACCTATGGTTGTTTTACCTTTTGTCAAAATAAGAAGAATGTCATGTAGTTTAGTGCCTTGTTATATAGACTTTATAATTTTTCTTTTTTCTTTGTACACGTTCACCTTCGGCTAAGGAATAACTTCTTTATATATTTTTTGCTGACTTCGCAATTCCGCTTCCAATTTCATTTTCGATTAGGAATGGGTTTGACGTTCCTTTGAGCGCTGTATATAACAGAAGAACCAAGTCAGAATCTTCAGTTAAAAATAAAGTGCTGGTCGGTTAGCAAAGTTATTCGAAATTCTTCAGACATGAATGATCCTGATAAAAGTTTCGTATGGATGATATTAATCCTAACCGTCTTCAGACGTAAGTATCACTTCATAATTTATTACAAGGGAAGTATATTTAGATCACAGTATCAGGAACTTGATTATGCCTTCATCTCCTCCTGCACAAGGATCAATTGCCCTATTCTAGTTATCACTCTTGTACTGAAGCAGCACTCCGCCTCCATTGTTTTATCATTGTCGTTTTGCCTAGCGCATT